TGAGAGAGCGGTATTTCTCTGAATCGCTCCAAGTGACTTTCTCAAGTCAGATGGGGGATTGTCACGAGCTGAATTTGACAGATTGGGTTTAGAACGAGCAGCTTGAAGGAAGAAAGTGCAGTTAAAAGTAATCTCTTTCCAATGTGTGTTAAATATTTGCTTGCACGAGGACTTCTGTAGGTAGTGCTACAGAAACCCCGTCTGGACGTGGGTTATGGGGCTCCCCCCTCGCTTGCGTTGTCTTGCTGCATCGGGAGGGGCCACCAATGTGGTCTGCAATGCGCCTGCCTTTTTCTTTAGTTCCCTTAGCACCTTTTAAGTCGTTTTTCTGGAGCAGATTCCAGACGTTGTTGGAAGCAATGTCTTGTTTTTGGCATTTCCACGTAACCTGTTTCTGTGAAGGGGGTGTTGGAGCCTTGCCATTTTGAAGCGCGTTAGGAGCTGTATTACTTATGTAAATGGTTTCCTGGATAGGCAGCTTGTTTTCACGTGGCCAGTGACTTTCCTTGAAAGCCACTCTTCAACGGCAGAGATTATAAATTTGAAGAGCAGTTACAAGGCAGACAGTGTTTTTGAACTTTACAAAGACCTCTTGTTTGTATTTTTTGTGTAAGTACGTACATGCTTGTGGAATACGTGCGCTTCTCATTTACTTTGTGTGTCTAAAAAGATGCAGAAGTGCTAACACTCAATAGTTTGGTATGACTTTTCAGGAAGGTGTCTGCTGATCAGTGTGCAGTGAATAAATGGAGTTGTCTGCAGAGTTTGCCCGTGTATAGTATAGTCCTTCATCTGCAAAGATACATTGACCGACTCATTAATGAGAATCCAATTAGCAGGATAGAGGGATGGGAAGGGTGGAGGGGAAGGCAGAACTGTCACGCAGGAGGGGTCTACCTGGCCCTACCTGGCAGGATCACCTTGGCACTCGGTTATTTCTTGTGTAACTGGTCCAGGAGAAGGTGCGGGTGTGCTGGACCCTGCCCGTGTGCCAGCTACATGGAAACGGAGCTGCAACGCAACTCCCTGGAAAGGTTAGGATGGTCACACAGCTTGAGTGTCACACGGGGAGAGTACATCGGAGAAATAACATGGGGATTGTTGCCCGGGGGCTACAGCTCTGTGTTTTTCCCATCAATCTTGGCATGGTTGATAGTATCACAGGACTTGGTTGCAGTTTGTCAGCTAGTGGCTTGGAGGAACCTCTCCAGACTTGCTGGCTGCAGAGGGCAGGCAGCAGATGTACGCAGCTATGGGTAATGAGGTTACGCTGGCAAATAACACGAGAAAAACGCTGCCGAATTTGTGCGATGTTAAGCTGTCTTTCTGAGCGACTGATGCACTTCGCAATTCCCCTTCCCCTTTTTAGCATTTTGCAGAACGCTCTCTTTCTGTGTGTCATTCCTGTTTTTTTGCTTTTGGAAGACCGCTCTTTTTCTGGGTGTCTTCCCTGCTTGCGTGGCCATTAGGGGATGGCTTCACGTCTGTGCACGAGGAGCCACGACTTGGTTTTTACCTTTGTGCGGGAGCAAGTAGGTCAACATCTGGTACACAGTTACACCTACCGCCTCTCCATATATGTGTACCGTACACATACATGTTGCTGCAATTGATCCTTCGAGCATGCATTTTGAAAGGTCTGGCCGTGCAGAGATTTGTGGGGCTGTCAGAGGTCGCTTACGTAAATCCTGCTTTTTCCAGCTAAATCCATCATTAAGGTAGGGTTTGCTTCAGGAGGTGCCTGTCTGATTATCGGGGTGAAAATCCAGCGCAAGTGCAAAGGTCAGGGTGTAAACACCGTGTCTAGGAGACTTTTGGTTACAAATAAACTGTAAATAAACTTAGACCTGGAACGTGACGTGAGCATCTCATCGCTTTAGTGCCCTGGCTTATTCATTATCCAAATGGCGATAATATTAAAAAAAAACAAAAGAGAAGAAGTCTCGCTAGTTATGACTCTGTGTTGAACGTGATGCGGGGTAGAATGTCCTGGTGTTATCGAGCACAGACTTAATTGCCTTCACGGAAGTGCGGTGAACCCTCCTCTGTTTAAGGAAAGATCATCAGAAGTGCAGGAATTACTCGCTTTGTTGAGCAAGAGGGATGCCTGTGAC